CTTCCTCCCCTTCCTTCCTTCCATCCTACTTACCTGCCTCTCTCTCTCCCTTCACCTTGTCCTTCCTTCCTTTGCCCATTCCTTCCTTCCTACGTCCCTACCTCCCTGTCCTTCTTTCCTTTGCCCTGTCCTTCCTTCGCCCTATCCTTCCTTCCTTTCTTCTTTCCTTCCTTCCTTCCTTCCTTCCTTCCTACCTACCTACCTACCTACCTACCTACCTTCAACCTGTCCTTCCTTCCTTGCTTCCTTCCTCTTCCCAGTCCTTCCTTCCTTCTTCCCTCCTTCCTTGTTTTCTTTTATTTTCCTTTCTTTTCTTTTTTAAATTCTTAGATGGACTTCCTCTTCAGGTTGAATCATAAAATGTCCCACCTGTGCTTGGCATGACTGAGCACCAGTGGCACATTGCTTTATTTATATATTTTCATATTTATATTTGAGTTTTGGGGTCCCAGGCCAGGTGGCAAAGCCAGGTCTTCTAGCCTTTATGGAAAGTCAGCAGGGAGGATGCAGATCTCACCTCGGGGGGGGGGGGATAGTGTTCCAAAGGGCAGGAGCCACAATTTTACTGGGTCCTTTTACTGGATCCTATCAACTAAAATTTCTTCTCAGATGGGCTCTGCTCCCCATCACAGGTGCCCATCTGCACCTGTGATGCCCTTTCTGCCATCACAGGCCAATCCTATCCCATTTTAACATCTTAAATCTATGATGTGCTTGGTTTGTTTGCTTTAGCTTTAGCATTAGGAAGTCATTGATCGATTCACCTGTAATTTACTATCAACACTGTTTCAAGTAGGTGTCTACTGTTGCAATGTTTTGCCAACCAATCAACATACTTCATTGATGTCACAGAATCAATTAGAAAAGAGCTGTAATGCATGTTAGATGATAGAGCGAAATTCCAATAGATAAATCACTGTTCTTTTTTTTTTTCTTTTCAAAATTGTGTCTGACAAATGGGACTTCTTCTGATCTTTTTTAGATTTAGATGAATTATAAGACGGAATTCCCTTTGGAGCGTTTATAAATATCCTCAATCATAGTTCATTTTAGCAAGATTAAAGAAGTAAATCTAAGTCCTTTGAAGTTATCTGAATCTATAATGTGGTTCATTAGGTTGCTTAGATAACAGAGTAAGAGAGTTGGAAGGAACCATGCAAGTCTTCTAGTCCAACCCCCTACTCTAGCAGGAAAACCTATATGAATTCAGATGAATGGTTGTTCAATCTGTTCTTAAAAACTCCATTGTTGGGGCATTCACAACTTCTAGAGCCAAGCTGTTCCCCTGATTAATTGTTCTGTCTTGAAATTTCTCCTTCGTTCTAGCTTGGTTCTCTCCTTGATTAGTCTTTACCCATTGCTTCGTGTCCTGCCTTCTGGTGTTTCGGATAATAGGTTGACCTCTTCTTTGCAGATTAAAATTTGTAAAACACTGCCCTAAATCTTGGCCTCTGAGCACTGTGGAATTAGTGTGGAATACACCCGCAGCAACCTATTTTAGGAGTCTTTGAAGAATAACAAACTGTCAGCCATTGAAGTTATTTTACTGTTGCTACCATAGAAGACCTTGCATTTTATATAAACATTAAAAGAGTCTGTCGAACATAAAATAATTGAGTTGGAAGGGATCTTGGAGGTCTTCTAGTCCAAGGCCCTGCTCAAGCAGGAGACTCTATACCAGTGATGGCTAAGCTTTTTGTCATTGGATGCCAAAAGCACATGCGTATGCAACAGCACACACGTGCACCAGCCCCTATAATGCAATGTGTGCACGATCCCTCCCTGCGCATGCATACATGACTCCATCGCGCTCCCCTTGCATGCGTCTGCTCCCTTGCCCCACACTACATTTTAGGCTTAGTAGGCTTCCCTGCAGCCTCCTGGGAACAAAACTGGACCGTGAGGGGCCTACACTACACCTACATGGCTCCCACACATGGACACATGCCCCCACAAAGCATGCGGACCTCCAGCACGCACCCCGCCCATTGTGCATGTGCAACAAACACCCAAAATCAGCTTGCTGGCGGGAGGTACACGCGCACACGCGGTGGAGCTGAGCGGGGGCAACAGCTCGCATGCCCGCAAAGAGGACTCTGCATGTCACAGTTTCACCATCATAGCTGAATACCATTCTGGGCAAATGACTGTCCAGTTTCTTCTTGAAAACATCCTGTGATGGAGCACCCACAACTTATGGAGGTAAGCTGTTCCATTGGTGGTTCTTAGAATCAGGATTTTTTCCCCCTTAGTTCTAGGTTTAATGTCACTTTAATGGTCTTTCGCCTAATACTTTTTCTCCTACCCTTCAGATGCTTTGGAGAATAGGTTAACCCCTTCTTCTCTGCGGCAGACCCTCAAGTACTGGAAGGCCTTTATTGCCTCACTCCTAATCCTTCCCTTTGTTAGACTAGATATGCCAAATTCACCCAATTGTTTATCATATGGTTTCGCCTCCAGACCCTTTATCACCTTTGTTACTCTTCCCTGCCCTCTTTCTATGGTCGTAACATCTTTTTTTTGACCTTGGTAGTCGTAAATGGACACACATGTAGTTCCATTAAGTTCCATTAACTACACACATGTGGTTCCATGTCGCTGGATATGATTGGTCAGTCAGTACAAATCAGTGGTGGGATTCAAATAATTTAACAACCGGTTCTCTGCCTTAATGACCAGCTGGATAGGCGTGGTTTGGTGGTCATGTGACTGGGTGGGTGTGGCCAACTCAACGTCACTCTCGTCGATGGGCGCTTCGCCTTAACTGTTACAATGTAATAAGGGTTTACGGGAGAAGCAGTTTCTGTAAGCAGGGCAATAAAGATCAGGCTAGAAACAACACCAGAATGTTTCCTTCCTGCCTTCCTTACAGGATTAGCCCTGCAAAGTGGGGAAAAACAAAAGGAGAACCACCGGTTCTCCCAACTGCTTAGAAAGTTAACAACCGGTTCTCCCGAATAGGGGCGAACTGGCTGAATCCCACCACTGGTACAAATCCATCTGACGGTGCTACTGTCCATCCTGCGTTGTTTTATCTTAACAGTGTGAAAAAGCAAAAACAAAAAAAAGTAAAAGAACAAGTACAGCTCTAATGGTTGTAGATGCATCTTGGCTTTTTTGAAAGCCCCAGTTGCCAAACATCCGAATTTTGATCACTGAGGCTGTGGGAATGCTGCAAGAGCTGTAAAGGGCAAGAACCAGTTGTTACGTCGCTTTTGCCAGTGCTATTGTAACTTCTAACAGTCGCTAAACAAATGTCTGTAAATCAAGGACCATTGGTATTTCCCCTCTGCTAATTGCTCATAGTGGGGAAATTTAGTTTTGGAAGGAGTCTGAAAAAGCCCCTTTTAGGGAGAAGATAGAGCGGGGGAAAGGGGGACTAAGGAGGAAGATACAACCACATTTTTTTTGCATTCTGTTTTATCCCATAACCAAGCTATTAAGAAGCACAGAATAACTTTGGATGGATTTAGCTATGTAATATTTTCAGTAGATCAATAGTCAATGCAACGTAGTCATTTTAACCAACTCCAGTCCCATTGATTTAATTGGGTCATTTTAAAATATAGGTAAAAGTTCCCTCGCACATGGGTATTAATTGCTCCCGGCTCTAGGGGGCGGTGCTCATCTCCGTTACAAAGCCGAAGAGCCAGTGCTGTCCGAAGACGTGGTCATGTGGCCGGCATGACTAAATGCCAAAGGCAACAGAACGCTGTTACCTTCCCACCAAAGATGGCTCCTATTTTTCTACTTGCATTTTTATGTGCTTTCGAACTGCTAGGTTGGCAGAAGCTGGGACAAATAACAGGACCTCACTCCGTTACTCGGTGCTAGGGATTCAAACCACTGAATTGTCAACCTTCTGATTGACAAGCTCAGCATCTTAGGCACTCAGTCACTGTGTCCCTTGAGATGTGTTGGTTGTAAGTCAAGGACCGTTTTAAATATTCAAAAACTGTTTTAAATATACAGCAAGGTAAAATGGGTGGGAAAGTCCTCATTCTTTTCTTGAGCTTGCTGCTATTACTTATTTCAGAGGTCTTGCAGAGGAAATTATATTAGAATATTGCTCCCAGCTTCGTAGGATTATTGATGAAATCAGTGGAAAACAATTCATACAAATTTGTTTGCATGTCAGATAATATCAAATTCATCCACTATCATTGAAACTCTACATTTTTTAAATGTATATCATGCACACACAATGCATGGAAAGTAATTTTTATTTTTTATTTTTTGGCCCACATTACGGACACAAACATACCTACTAACTCTGAGCTCGGAGAAATAAATCAGAGAGGTTTAACAACTTAAGAATATCAGGCTTCATTTATTTAATTGCAAAGGCAATGAGCTAATATGACTCTCCTATTGCTTCCTTTAAACATTCTTGCTTCAATTTTTTCTAAATATGCCCTCAAAGCAAAATTAAACTGAGACTGGATATTCATATTTTCTATCTGAATAGCCTTTAAAAAGAAAAAAAAAGATGTGATGAACCAGAAAAGCTTTGTTATTATATACTAACCAGATTGTGCATGGCACATTTTATTTCTATAAAACTATTACAAAATATTCAAAAAATACATTTTAGTAAATTGACAGCAGTTATTTATCAGTTTATTAATGCAAAACATCCTTTCCCTGCCTGTACAAACTATTCTCCATTCTCACCATAATAGTCAACCTGTGCACATTTTAAAAAATATTTTCTCATAAATTTCTTCTTGATTTTGAAGACAAAAATAAGAATTTCTTCCACCTCCCCACTGAATAAAGATGTGTAACAGTCTTGAGTATGAAGAATGTGGATGAAAGCGTGCTATTATTTTTATACAAAACAAAATATTTCAGAGGCAATAGAAACATATAGAGGATGACATTACATTTCATATTATTTAAATTAAAATAATATATTCTCATATCTTACATTATTTCAAAAAAAAAATTGAAATGTGACTGTTAGGTATTGTTCTCTCTTTCTTTCTCTTTCTCAAAAACAAAAACAGAAAAACCACGAATTTACAATTCTGTGTATAAAAATATAATTTACGGATTCCCCCTCCCCCTTCGTTGTGTCTTTTGTTCTGAGTCTGGCTATTGGGAAAGATCAAATCCGGAGGGGGGGAGGGGAGGTCTGCAGGGTCTGTCAAAAAAGTGAAAATGGCGGCCATTAAGGTATGATCAAAACTCTACCTAGTTTTTGTTTTGTAAAAAGTAGGCGGAGCTTCAATCACATCCTCTCATCCGCCATCTTGATTTGTGTTCACTGCTCACTGCGGACATCCCTGAGCAAATCCATGGATAGTTGGAAGAAGGAGAGGCATTTTGCTTTTCGAAATTCTGGACATACATAGAAAAATAGAACTCTGTGCAGTTTTGCTAGGCAGCGCAAAATAATTTGCTTTTCCCTGTGAGTGTACAATTCACATGATAATAAATTATCAAAGAAACTATTTAAGGCTCTTGAAGTTGGGTTCATATTCCTTAAAACATCTATTTAAAAATACCAAACAAATAAATATCCAAGAGATGAGGACAACAAAACAGACAAAAAATATAAATCAAATAAAAATATAATATATATATTTATATTTATAAACTAAAACAAAAACTTCCTTGGTTCTTCCTGTTTCTTGAAGTCTACTTTGGAGCGTCCTACTATTATTGTTAAATTTTCTTTCTTTCTTTCTTTCTTTCTTTCTTTCTTTCTTTCTTTCTTTCTTTCTTTTTTTGTTTCTTTCTTTCTCTTTCTTTCTTTTCTTTCTTTCTTTCTTTCTTCATCTTAGTTTCCCCCACCCCATTGGTACTATTTTAATCTTCAAATGGGTATAAGTGGACTTGCCAGCTGTCACTCTCAGCTGGCCATGCCCAATGGGTGCATCATTTCAGAACCCAAAATCCAGCGGCCAATGTAGTAGAGGAGGCGGGAGTACCAGTGGACTCCAGCCAATGAGGAACCCTCTTCTGGTACAGCAGCTGGAAAAAGGAGAGGGGAGGAGAGACCCTCAGGATTCAGCACTGCCAAGGCTGTGTGAGCTATGCGGAAAGGCGCAAATGCCCAATGAGCCCAGCTGTGCTCCTCAATGACAGCATAACAGGAAGCCAGCACCTGGTTGATGAGAATGGTGCCCTGAGCGGTGAGTGGGGCATAAGCTCCCGAGGCCTCCTCCTTCAGGGACACACGGTGCACTGCCGCTTGCAACAGGGTCTGACCCCCTTGGGCCAGCACATAGACATGTTGTCCAGGCTGCACACGGCTAGCGAAGATAGGCTGGGGTTGGGAGTGGGAATGATTGTGTGGTGGGGCCACAAATAGCAGGTGGGCAGCGGTGAGTAAGAGGCGGGCGTGGGGTGTTTGGGTCTCAATCACGTAGAAGAGTTTGTGGACAGGAGGGTCCTCTCGGTCCAAGAAGGCTAGGAATTCACTGTAGAACAGCTGTCCGTGCACATCTGCCGCCAGAACTCGGTCACCTGGACGAAGGTCTTTCACCAGCTTTGTGCCTCCTCCTTCCAGGTTCACCCAGGCAGAACCAGGGAAGCAGCCACCCGATTTGGCAGCCACCGAGTTTTCTGAGAGAGGGAGACAGAAAGCAGCATTAGAGAAAAGCCAGAAAGGGAATAAAGAAAAGCGTAATGCTAGGCAATCATCCGTGTCCTACTAGCAGAAGCAAAGACTGTGAAATCATCCTGGGGATACCAGGCTCCATATAACAGAACAATAGAGTTGGAAGCCCTTATAAAGCCCTTTATGGTATTGGACCTGGGTACTTGAGAGACCGCCTTCTGCCAATTACCTCCCACAGACCCATTAGATCGCACAGGGTCGGCCTCCTCCGGGTTCCGTCTACCAGCCAATGCCATCTGGCTACTACCCGGGGGAGGGCCTTCTCTGTAGCAGCTCCGGCCCTTTGGAATGAACTCCCCGCGGAGATTCGGACCCTCACCTCTCTCCAGGCCTTCCGGAAAGCCGTCAAAACCTGGCTGTGCCGGCAGGCCTGGGGTTGATGAGTTCCCCTCCCCTCTCGACTTGTATGGCCGTATGACTCTTGTGTATTTTAATTATATGTATTGTGTTTGTATCCCCTTTCCCCTTTTGAGTTGTTCGCCGCCCTGAGTCCCGCCCGGAGAAGGGCGGCATACAAATAAATTAAATCTGAAATCTGAAATCTGGAAAGGACCTTGGAGGTCTTCTAGTCTAACCCCTTGCTCAGGCAGGAAACCCCATATCATTTCAGACAAATAGTTGTCCAATCTCTTATTAAAAACTTCCAGTGTTGGAGCATTCACAACTTCTGGAGGAAAGCTCTTCCACTGATTAATTGTCCTGATTGTTAGAAAATTTCTCATCAGTTCTAAGTTGCTTCTCTCCTTGATTAGTTTCCACCCATCGCTTCTTGTTCTACCCTCAGGTGCTTTGGAGACTACTGTGTTTCTCCAAAAATAAGACAGGGTTTTATTTTCTTTTGACCACTGAAATAAGCACTTGGCCTTCTTTTCGGGGAGGGCTTATTATATTTGAGGCATTGGAGGCGGTGAGCATGGTCATCTCATGGCTGCTGCTGTGTTGCAATATTTTTGGGGGAGGGCTTATTTTAGTGTATGCGCTTAAAAGCTCGATTGGACTTATTATGTGGGGAGATCTTATTTTCAGGGAAACAGGGTGGCTTGACTCCCTCTTCTTTGTGGCAGCCCCTGAGATATTAGAACACTGCTACTATATCACCTCCCTACTCCTTTTCATCAGACGAGACATACCCAATTCCAGCAACTCCGTTCATTATATGTTTTAGCCTCTAGCCCCCTAATCATCTGTGTTGCTCTTTTCTGCACTCTTTCTAGAGCCTCAACATGCTTTTTTACATTATGATGACCAAACACTGGATGCAGCATCCCAAGCGTGGCCTTACGAAGGCATTATAAATCGGTATTAGCACTTCACATAATTTTGATTTTAATTCCACTGTTAATGCAGACTGCATTAGCTTTTTTGGCAGCTGCAGCACACAATTGGCTCAGATTTAAGTGACTGTCAACTAGGAGGATTCCAAGATTGCTCTCATGGCTATTACCATTGAACCAGGTACCACCTGTCCTATAACTTTGCATTGGTTTTCCTTGTCAAAATGTAAAACTTGACTTTTTTTCACTTTTGAATTTCATTTTGTTAGATACTTTACTGACTTTCTTCACAGGATCATCTATATCAGGTTATATGACATTATATCTTCTGGTTTTCTTCTCTATCTTATCCCAACCTGACTGAAAAGAGATTCCATCTTATCTGTCTATTCTCTCTGTCTCTCTGTCTCTGTCTCTCTCTCCTATCTATATCCATCCATCCATCCATCCATCCATCCATCCATCCATCCATCCATCTATCTATCTATCATCTATCCATCCATCCATCCATCCATCCATCCATTCAACCCATTGCATTTTTTACATGCTTTCAAACTGCTAGGTTGGCAGAAGCTGGGACAAGTAACAGGAGCTCACTCCATTACATAGATTCGAACTGCCAAACTGCCGACCTTTCTGATCAACAAGCTCAGCCTCTTAGCTACTAAGCCACCGTGTCCCTTTGAGTCACCACATCCCTGTAAACATTAGGCAGCCCCAAATCAATTGCAAAACGCCATTGGTGAGTGGTAGAGGCCTCCATCCTTGCCTCTGATTGTGAAGGGTGTTTGCTAGATCCTTAGCAATTCCTACTAAAATGCAGCAGGTCTGTTCTGTATTGGGGGTGGCATTCACTTGCACTTACTTTCTCTACCATTTCATAAATGTGAGCGTGCACACACACACACACACACACACACAGGCTAGCTTCGCTCACATGCGCCACATCCACGCTTGTGTTTTGATCACACTCATGGCTTACACACATGTGCCTGCCTTGAAAATGTGCCTAAATAGGATGGCATAGAGCTGGGGCAGAGGGGGCGGGCCCACCCGCGATTTCCATTATGTGTTGGAGTGAACCAGTCCGAACCGGCTGAATACCACCTCTGTTTTGTATGCTTACACAATATTACATTCCTGGGATCATCACAAAGCTTTCCCCATTTCAAGATACTTGTAGATAAACTGGCTATTAGCTTAAAACCAAGATGTTCTGCTACAAGTCACCAATCTCACTGTGCAAAAGTGGAGTTGCTTTTGGGATAATGCAATCTACTCTGGCTCACTTCCAGTTTTGCTTCTGTTTCTCCTCTTGTAATTATAATTATCATCGTACATTCCTCCTTGGAAAGGGAAAACCCAGGGCTTAATCTGAGGAGCAATCATTTTCAGAAGCTTGTTTCTGAATGCCAGAGAAATAATTAAAGCTAGAAGGGAGCGCTCCCAAAAGCATACAATATCTTGCAACTCAAGATCGTGACTTGTAATCAGCTTTTGCCAACCCAGTGCCCTTTGGAGATGAATTGGACTTCAATTCCCAGAATTCCCACTCCATCCAATCTAGAAAACCAGCACCTTGAATCGGGTTCGGAGACCAATGGGCAGCCAGTTGTTCTGCACATGTGCAGAACCATTTTTATTGCCCTGCGCATACGCGGGCATCGTGCATCAAGCGTGTGTGGTGCACCCACAAGCGAACCGGCAGTAGTGCCTGCCAGAACCCACCTCTGCCACCAAATGCTGGGAAAGATTCAGCTGCTGTTTGACTAAAGGGCACCCAGCTGTGACCATGTTAGCAATTCATAGCTGCTGCACCTGCTGCTGCTTCTTCTTTTTTGCCTTGATCCACCCTCTGTCCTCTCACCAGCTTTCATCCATGATATATGAAAAGTCAGAGCACCGAACCCCAATACTCTGACACTGGATGAAATAGCTGCTGTCAATGGCCCCACTGTGCATTTAAAGTCGGGGCCAGCTTCCAGATTTAAGGGTTGCAATGTTGAGCTCTGAAGCTACTTTCTAAAGATTAAATGCTGGGAAAACCCCTAACTCCTGGCAACGGTGCTGGGGCTAAAGCATATGTGCATGATAAAAATGCCAGATGAGTAGCAAAACATGCCTGCTGCTTCTGAGGGCAGGCTAGGAGTCTTTGAAATCTAATCTCCCTCTTCCCACCGCCAAACCCCCCCCCCCTGCATATTTGGCCAGCAAGCCACTCCCACAAAGCAGGCCACACCTACAGAAGAGATTCCAAAAATTTTTGAAACCCCCCCCCCCCTGCATATTTGTACACCTGCTTCCTTACTTATGAAGTTAGCACGCATCACAGTAGAATTAAAACAGAATCAAAGAGAGACGAGGAAAGGGCTAATGTCTTCTCCTCAGCTGCCCAGATGCTGCTCTTTAGTAATTACAACATGCCACAACTTTTCCGAGTCGGAGGATTTGATACTCCTTGGTCGGGTTGCCAGCTTAAAGGTGCATTGGGGCAGACAAGCTGTGATCAGCTCCCCCGCCTTGAAAGTTTAGAAGTCCCTTATCGTGGAATTAAAAGTGACATGCCATGATGGACAGATCAAGCTTTCAAAAACAGGAAAACAACTTGAACAGTTTCCAGGTTTTTAAACTGTAAGCTTTGATTTTTAAAAAGGGGAGGGAGACATAAATTAATTAAAACGTGGGGTGATGTAGAATTCCTAACACTTAATTTCAGAAGTTATGCCTTCTCTAAAGTAGGCACAACCTGGTGAGGCTCAAATATATTTGATTTCCAAATTCCAGCTGTAGTTCCACACTGGAAAGAAATTTGGGTGTGTGTGGGGGTACAACTGCACATCTGGAAGGGGTCAGGTTTGGGAAGGGTGGCTTAAATCTTTATGATGTACAGCATAATTCTTTTTAAATGCACACAATAATATCTACTTGCAAATAAGTAGATAAAGTTCTGCAATCCAAATAAACTATATAACACTTTTACCGGATTATCACTTTAGCATGTGAACAAACATGTACAAGAGACAAAACCAGAGAGAATAGAATTCGGTCATCAGAATGATGATGCTTAGACAGGGGTGGGATCCTGCCAGTTCTCACCTCTTCTATAGAAGAGGTTCCACAAATCTACAGTGCCATTTAGAACAGGTTCCAGCTCCCTCCTCCCGCCCGTCCGCACATCATCAAGATGAAGAGCGAGGGGAGGAATTCTGGGAGTTGAAGTCCACAAGTCTTAAGCTGTCAAGTTTGAACACCCCTGGGGTTTTTTCTAAAGGGTTAGGGGTGCAAGGGGTTAGGGGTCTTGTAACTTGACAGCTTTAAGACTTGCGTGCTTCAAATGCCAGAGCTTCTGAGTCAACATTTTGGTTGCTAAGCAAGAGTGTTGTTAAGTGAGTTTCACCACATTTTACAAGTTGGCCATACCTACCCAGTCACATGGCTGGCAAGCCACTCCCACCCAGTCACATGCCCAGCAAGCCACTCCCACCTGGTCACATGCCCAGCAAGCCACTCCCACAAAGCAGGCCACACCTACCGAAGAGGTTCTAAAAAATGTTGAAACCCACCACTGTGTTTAGAGCATGCATTTTTGCACAGCAAATATTTCAGTGCTAAAAGCCATTGTTCATTGAATCAAAATGAAACAACACTGATTGTCGTTCAGAATAATGCTG